TTATTTTAATTTTTTAATTTTTAATATAAATTTTGTTTATACTAATTTTTTACTAAATATAAAAAAATTAACAAATTAACAAAATTCTAATAAAATTTTATTATAAAATTTATCAAATTTTCGTGCGTGTTTTTCAACTTGATATAGATATATATTGTATTTTTCCAACAACTTTCCTAATAAAGTTTCCCTTAATGAAGGAGGCCCAACTTTTCCGAATAAGCAGAGTTCCTTTGTCTATTTTTACTAGATTAAAGACAAAACAAATCCAACCATCTAACAATTGGTTGTTCTTTTTATGTTAAATATTAATTTTGATCTCTTAATTTTAAGATTTTATACAATTTTTGTACTTTATCTTTCAAGCATTTTATGCACTTCTTTCCCTCAACTCTAAAAATGGTGCATAAGTTGACAAACTAAATGGATTAATTAATAGAATGATAAAAATATATATATATATATGTATTTTTTTAAGTTAAGAAACTAAACAAATTCATAAAATAATTAAAAAAATAAAAATTAATATTTAATTTATCAATTATCTAATTAATTTTATCAAATACTAAAATTAATATCAATTTTTACATTTTTATGTATATTTATAATAAAAATATATAATAAATATACTTTTATTCTATGCCTTAAGAGTATAGAATAAAAAAACCTTTATTTAAATAATTATAATATTTTCTCTATTTCTTCAAAATTCTCCCTTAAAAAAATGACTTCTTTTATTAAATGAAAGGAAAATAAAAGTTCAAAGGAATTCATAGTGATCATAAACACTTTTCCTCACATATGTTATATTGGTTAAAGAAAAAAAACTCAAATTAATCAATTTTTGTCGGTCCATGTTGAACTAAAAATCACTAAATGTAATAAAAAATTAATATTTTTTAATTTAAATTATATAAATTTATAAAATTAAAAGTACACATTGTCTTATAAAACACTTTTTCAATAATTAATTGTACTTTACATCTGTTATTCAAAATGTCCTCTTTGATTAGTATTTTGAAGAATACAATCATACATTAACCAATTGATGGAAATTACTTAATTTTATAATATTTTTTTATTAATATCTCAATATTAAAAGTTCTATTGATTTGATTAATTTACGATTGAGTCACGTTAGATTTTATATAAATTTTCACAACATTTATTTTTTTATTTACAATAATTGAATTCGAGATCTTATTTTATTATAAAAAAAATAAATTTTTTCTATTTAATTAACAGGTTTTTGGTTCTAT